TCAGCTCCTGGTGATGCCCATAAGTCTCTCTTGGCTAAGCTCCACGGCTTACAAACAGAAGTCCTAGAGCTTCCAGAGCTCCCTGAAAGGTCATTTACCTCAGTTCTGAACCTCACTATCATCCTCATATTGAGCACTGAAGACAAAGGAATTATTGGGGTTCTTGGGTCATGTGTTGAAAACCGTCAGTGATTCTGTATGTTTGGGCAAATGTCTACAGAAGATTTTTTGTTCTCAATAACCATCCTATTTTTAACTTGTTGTAGTATATATTCACTTTTATATATGCTGCTCAGGGACACACGCAGACATACCCCTCTTTCTCCATCTAAAAATATTACTAGGGTTGTTATGAAGCACATACAGTGGTACGTTGCCTTCCCTTCAACATCTTTGAATGGCAACCAAGGCCATCATTCATATAACTCGTTAGAATTTCTGGCAGCATTTGAAATACTATGCACTTTTGCAAGTTAGCCTCACAGTTGCACCGTTGAAGGTTTATCAGAAAACCCAACAGTGATCAGAAAAATGAATATCACTGCTGCACTTACCATGCCACTGTGCAACTGGATAACTCCTGCATCATTTCATGTTGTAGTATTTCACATGTCTTAGTGAACAGGCATGTGTTAGTGAACAAATTCAATCATGCAAGTGTTTAGTTTATTTGATTTGTATCATTCCACAAGGGGGAATTATGTAGCTTGGTGATGTCCTCCATTTGTCAACATTGAAACAATTTAGCCCCTGGGAGATGTATTTATTTTCTATTAGGCAGGCCATTTTTGTATATCTTCTCATTCTTAACCAAGTTTATAGTGATGGTAAACTCTGCTAATGAGACGTGACAGTTTCACATCCAAGCTTTGGCCCTCTCTGATGGGATTATGTTCCCCTCTTAAGACATTCAGATTTACTGATCCTGCACAATGATATCTGTACCATCAAGAACAGGAGTGTCAAACTCACCTCGTCATGGCAGTGTCACATGACATATCGGGACTTTTTTCCCTTTTGCTAAACTGGGCGTGGGCATAGCCAGCGCATGACGCATCCAGCCTGCGGGCCATGAGTTTGGCAGCCCTGATCTAGAACTCAGCTTTAAAGCTTCAAGGATTGAGTCACCACTGGCCTTTCTGCAGTAATAGAGGATATTCTCTTGACATAAAGGAAGCCATCTATGGAGAAGTCCTGTCCGATTCTTCACAAACACATGGCGGGAGAGCACTTCCATGATTCTCCAGTTTCCCTAGTTGGCCATACTATTTTTGTTAACATTGAAATGGGGTGATTGGTTTGTGTCCTTGCAGTTATTTTAACAATTTACTTTCGAGTTGCTGATATTTCATATTTTTCAGGACATGGTGGTCAAATGTTTCATAAAAGCATCCTTCATTTATTCCTGCCTGTGTTTCTGTGGGTACCAACCTGGAATTTGTCATTGGACTAATTATATTGATGTCACAGGTGTTTGAACATAAGGCCACTTGTTTATATTATTTGCTGTCTGCTGCTGCTTTCTTAGCTGCTAAAACAACAGCCAGGCAAGCTAGTGAACTGTGCTATTCTCTGCACAGGCTGTCTGTACCTCTCCAGGCAAACAACCCCTCCCTTCCATCTGAGTCAGGACATGAACCCAACAGCCGTTTCACTTCCTCCTTACCCCCTTTGGGTGAACAGTGTTTATTCCAGAATAAGAACTTGTTAGTTCTCTGTTATTTTTATTATTATTATTATTATTATTATTATTATTATTATTAGTCATCAGGAAGGTTGCATGAACTGCCTTCTTCCTATTTTGGAGCTAGAGGGGATCAGTCTGTTCTAATGGCTGTTGGACTGGGAGTTGCGTCCAAAGGCATGCATAGTAGCGGTGTGGGTAGCAAGAGTCTTTGCAGGGCATGGTTAAAAAAAAAAAAAGATGGTGGCTGTGATGGTACGGTTGAAGCTCTGCCCATTTAAAAAAAAAAACAGCAAATTTTGATCACACTTTTATGGACACCATCTTGAGTTTTTTCACCATAATTCTGCAGCACTCCTGACGGGTCAGGTTCCTACCCAAATCTCCAAGCTCTAGAATGAAGAACTATTTCTTAATTTCACAGATGTCAACTGGAAGGCAGGTAATTTTTATTGGCTTACAGCAGTTGTCTTCACAAGCAGGGATGGAGGGCAAAAAGCATGTCTTGGGCAGAAGACAATCCAAGGACCCTCTGCTGCTGCAGTTGGTCAAAGAAAGCAAGGCTGCTGTGGCTGCCATCTGCCTCTCCGGCTCAGCACTTTGGCTCTGGAAGCAGCTAGTTGTATTCCCAGTTCCAGAACATAAGCAGAGGGACAGAGATATAGCAGAACCAGGGTAGTGACACTTTCTTGCTGCTTGCTGGGCTGACTATTCTTCTCATCTGCCCTCGGTAGGAGGGAATTGGGAAACAGGCACCATAACTGTCCCCAGTACTTGAAAGGTTCTTGCTTGGGGCCAGGAGGGTGGTGGGCAGAACGAATTGCCCCATCACTAAGTGACTGAGAGGGCTTCTGCTTCCAAAAGTGTCATGTTTGAACTGGCTACTTGTGGCAATAAATGGCTGTTGTATGGCCAAAAAGCAAACAAGCTGTCTAGAGTCGTCCTGGCACCAAAATCAAAATAAACAAATCATCAATCAGACCAAAAAAAAAAAAAACAACCCCAAGTCAAACATCTGCTACAGAAGGTAGAGAGGAGGTGAATGAAAAGGCTAAATCAGTCAAAACACGTTCCTTATTCAAGATTGAGTGAAGTAGGGGAACAGATTAGAATTGATTTACAAAGGCTGTTGTGGAATGCAAATGAGAAAAGGGTTCCAAAGGATGCTGTAATGTTTGAAGAGCAGAGTTAAAGAGTTTATAAAGACATGCAAACCTTGTTAAGCAAGAGAAATTCAGCATTAATCAATTAAAAAACAACCGCCAAAGCCTAACAACTATAAAAAGTAGAATAAGAATTAGAACAGAAATTGGAAGATAAATTCCAATGTATTGTTGATGTGGCTGGCATCTGTACTCCTGATTCAAAAAGGGCTTTTTTTTCTTGTCTACCTAGGGATTTGACTCATAAAGTTAGAAGGGGGCACACATAACCCATGAAATTTCCCCATTACTTAGGCAAGAATCCAGTTTCAAACATCACTGACAGATAGTTGTCCAAACAGTTTTCTGGGAAACCATGTAAATCAATGAACTCCACCCTTCAAAAATATTAAATCAAACAGTTTTCTTAATTTACAGCCTGAAAATGCCCTTGGATCAGCCCAATAAGACATATTCCAAAACTTTTTTTTCATACAGTTTGCATTAATTATGACAGCGTCTCATCAAATGTATGTGTACATCAGAGATTAAAGGAGTATAGATTGAATGGCTCCAGGTTTTGGTTTTATGCATCTCCCTTTGACAGTCTCAAATATCTATTCTGTAGCTATTGTTTTAAACTGTGAAACAATAGGAATTTCATTGCTGGCAAAATGTGTAGATGGTCCAGGTTATCATATAACTGATAATACCTATTGCGCCTTGTTTGCACCAATCACTGTTTTAGTAACTTTACATTGCAATTCATTGGAAGCTAGTTTCACTTTTCTTACTCAATGGTTTGATTCAGGGTCCACCACAGCTATTCTATAACCAGGAGACAGATGTTGAGTGATTTTTTTTTATTACATATGTTTTATGTTTATCTTAGGCTGATATATACATAGCTGTTCAGTTTGGGAGGGAGGACCTCATTTAATTAAACACATCAGAATCTCAATAGATCTAAATCCAGATTATACTTTTACAATCAGTTGTCAGGGTTCCAAGTAATAAACCCATAGAAAGCAAAACTCTGAGGCAGATGAATTCCTCAAAGAATAGCTTTATTGAATATATCCTATTGGCACAGATCTGGTGAAAACCGACTCTGAAGGTTCCCACGGTTTTCACCTAATTAAAAGTTTTTTCCCTTCCCCAAACAATCAGTCACATGGTCCAATCCAAACGCTGTCTGGTTGCCTGATGACCTCACTCCTCCTTCCTCTGGCTAGGTGTGAGAATGCCCTTGGTTCCCAAGAGAAAGTATTTTATTTTGGCTACAAAACCCCAGCTATCTCTTATTTCCTCCCCCCCCCTATCCCTCAGCTCCAGTGTGGCACACTGAAGCTCCAAGATGGCTTCTGCCAGGCCAGCTTCAGGATTGACATCAATATTGTAAATTGTTCATACAGTAAGATCATACTTAGAATACTGCATCCAGTTTTGGTCAACATATTATTAAAAAAAATGTTGAGACCCTGGAAAGAGAGCAGAAAAGAGCAATAATGATGATTAGGTGGTTGAACCATATGAAGAATGGTTGCAGGAATGGGGTAAATCTAGTCTAGTCAAAAGAAGGAATAGGGGTAACATGATAGCCGTGTTCCAATATTTGAGGGATTGCCACAAGGAAGAGGGAGGGTCAACCTATTTTCCAAAGCATGAGAGCAAGAAAAGAAGCAATGGATTGAAACTAATCAAGGAGAGAAGCAATCTAAAACTAAGGAGAAATTTCCTAACAGTGAGAACAATTAACCAGTGGAACAGCTTGCCGTCAGAAGTTGTGGGTGCTCCATCATTGCAGGCTTTTAAGAAGAGACTGGAAAGTCGCTTGTCTGGAATGGTATAGGTCTCCTGCTTGAGCAGGAGAAGACCGCCAACGTCCCTTTCAACTCTATTATTCTGTGTGCTATTGGGTAACTTTTCTTCAACAAGCTTATAAATGTAGCCCGGCAATGTTTCCATAACGGAGGGAAAGACACCCAAAGAATACCTCTTAAATATATAAAGTTTATTGTCATTGTATGTACCCATACAACGAAATTCACATAACACCCAGAGACCAAGCCCAACACACATGACAATCCCCAGACACAACCCCACCCACCTCTCTTGCAAATTTGCTCACGCTTTTACATTTATAATTGTTCTTTTATATATATTTGATCCAGATTACATCAACTTGACAAGCATTGCCAGTCTTCTGCCCAGCAGCTTGTGGAGTTACTCAACAAACAGAATGAATTATACAAGGAACGGCAGATGCTTACAGAAGAGGTGGATTTTCTGCGGACTCAGGTATCCCTGAAAACCAGGAGAAATATTCATGACTTTAGTTCATGCAGACCAATTTTTCCTCTCTCTTTTTTCCGGTTTATTGATACATCATGGTTGATGGGCATTCTCATTCCTTATGAGAATGCCCATAAAGAGGTGGCACAGTGGTTAGAGTGCAGTACTGCAGGCTACTTCAGCTGACTGCTAGCTGCAATTCAGCAGTTCAGATCTCACTGGCTCAAGGTTGACTCAGCCTTCCATCCTTCTGAGGTGGGTAAAATGAGGACCCAGATTTTTGGGGCAATATGCTGAGTCTGTAAACTGCTTAGAGAGGGCTGTAAAAGCACTATGAAGTGGTATATAAGTCTAAGTGCTATTGCTATTATTGAATCAGAATTTTTAATGCTCTCCACCCCTTTTCTCTTTTTTTTTCTTTTTTTTTCCTTTTCCTTGTACTGTAGTACTGTAGAACTGCTGATTCACAGCAGTGGTTTATAAAGATGAAGAGAACCATTTCACAAAAGTGCTTTAATTGTGTTAAACTTTAAACAAAAATCTTCCTGATTTGATACAATTGCCCATTCTTTGAAAAACCCTCAAGATTATGTATTCTAGCATAAATCTATCGCCTCTTTTGAAGGGAAAAAGGGCAACTATAGATATGTCCTGATACAAGACTTGTGCTATTTGCTGTTAAGCCTCAGCTGTTAAGAAATCATGGAAGCCTTTTTTTTTTACAACATGTTGTTGTGAAATATAACTCAATACACAATCAATACAAGCAAAAAGATTTGAAACCTGTTTATAGATTATTCATTCATTGTCAACTATCTTTAAAAAAAGAAACACAGAAAGATCATGTAAGGACGCAGATCTCTACAAGTGGTAAAAGTCCATCTTTTGTTCGTTTGTTTTCTTTCAGTTATCCTCTGCCCCACAGCCATAGTTGAAAACGCTTCAGAGAAGACATCAGAGAAGGAAAATGCCAATCACCTTTTTTCAACATAAAGACCTGATGTGCTTAGATCGTTAAACATGTCAATGTTTTCCCTTGCTGGGAAAGTCATCACATCTGTGTTGGACTGTCAAATATTTAGATCCAATATCTTTAGATACTCAATAACTTGTTTGTGCTCTCTCAAGGAGACAGTTCTGGTTGGATTTCTGAGGAATTATTTATACTTTTAGATGATTGACACTTGTGCAGTTTTCTTTGGATGGAACTTGAAACATGTAGAGAAATTATACTAGATCAAAACCAGCTTTAAATGCAGTATTATCCCCCCCCTCCAGCGCTCATTTTTACATCATTTTTTAACCTGTCAAGAGAGGTATACACATCACCTCTGAATTAAGATATAGTATTATTGCCCCATGGGTGAGGAACAGTTCCCTCAATAAGGTTGAAATCTGTTCTGTCTTTGCAAGATAATGAAAACTTTCTTTTCCTACAGCTCTGGAGCTTAGTATTGTTGTACAATCTGCAGTATTTATCAGATTGTTTTTATCTCTGAAAGATTATAAATGCATCTCCCCGATTGGACTAGTTGTTTGCACTAAACTTGGTGCCCGAAGACTTCAATAAACAATCTTAGATATTAGTTTAAAACAGCAGGTCAGATAAATATAAATGACGTTCTCAATGGTTTTATAAATAATTTGATGATCATTGATTTTTCATGTCTTCATATAAATGGGTATAATAATATAATATATAATCCCTAGACAAAACTTTTTATTTGAGGTTGGTATTTCTACATACATCATATTCTCCTTAGAACTCAATATGATGGTAGCAAACCTTTATGTTTAATAAATGTCAGTCTAGGCAAATATATATTAAGATTGGGCTGAATTGAAAAAACAAAAAGGATATGGCAGTGGAAGCGGCTGATTTTCCGTTCTATGAATAGTTTTAAAGTATGGATTTGTCCTAGTACCACAAAGCCAGCATCTGTGCTGTAAGTGTTCTACAGCAGATACAGGGTATGAAAGAGCTGTGCTGTCCTGGGACACCAGCACTGTTCTTGATTTGACTTCGTTGTGCTGCATGTTGGAGAAGCACATGGAACTGCCAGCATCTCTGACCAGATTCCTGCATGTCCCATCTTTTGGAGCAATTTTCACAGAAAGAATATTTTACCTGTCCAACATTAGTACTCTGGTCCCCCACCATCTCCCCAGCAAGTGGAATATGTTCCTCAGCCTGGCTTCATAATTGGTGGAGAAGGAAGAAGGGAGGTTGTTAATATTCTCAGATTCTGGAAAGGGGAGGGGTTGATTAAAAATAGTGCAAATTCAGACCATCTGCACATTCTTCTATTATCTGGGAGAAAGGGAGCCGTCTGTTGTTCATCAAATAGTTATTACAGTATGAAGAGAATGAAGACAACTTCAGCCTAGCAAGCCCAGAGATAAATTGGGTCCTAAGATTTAGTAATTTACTTCCTTATTTAATAACCTTTGTGAGATTCTTTTATTTGACTGTCAGTAATGTATCAGAGCAGATATGAGAACCAATTCAATTGCCTCTGGGTTCTCTCTGGAGAACTTTAGCTGCCATAAAGGAGGAAACCTGGTTAATTTTACCCTCTCCTTCCCACTGTTTTGTTCCACCGCATGAAGCAAACTGATATTCAGGTTGTCCAGTAAGGGAAGCATCCTCATTTTAGGTCAACTGGTTATTCTTAACAGTTTAAAAAACAAGAAGTATCTAGAGAATCAGGTTTCCAAGCTCTCACAAAACAAGCTACAGCTGTAGAGGCCAAAGACCAGAAATGGATGATGCCACAGAACCAACCAATTGGAGCCAAATAAGTCACACCCTTCCCCCACCCACCTGCAAAGACCACATTACCTCCACCTTCCTCCTCTGTGCAAGGTAGAATGTCTAAATTGAATGCTGTGTAAAATATCCTTTTCTGCTGGTTCACATTGTTCCAGGTAGTGGTAACAAGATGGAGACTCTTTTGTGAGGGCATGTCAACAAATGGTGAATCAGGACAAGGAAGCTGTGAAGCTGAGCCTTTTAGCATTTCCGCTGGAGAAGCAATGAGATATTTTTTTAAGTTGGAGAAAAAAGCAGAGTGTGGCAGAGCAGAAAACTGTTTTTTTGTGAGAAGCTAAGAGGAATGTTCTTTTATCCTGCAGCTTAAAGACAGTGATGATATAGAAATATTACAGCAAGGCTGTAGTTGGTCTGTTTTTATAAGAAGACGCACATGTATTTTGAAGCTGAAAATAAATGTCTCATTCTTTATTTTTTAAAAAAATTAAAACACTGTATTTGCAAATCGAAGTATTAGAATCTGAAGTTGTATTTATAGTCAGTGCACCTGGATTCCATATAGCCCCATGTACATTCTTCCAATTAAAAACTGAATGGATGTAGCCCTATGCTTTGCTTCTAAAACTTTTCTATTCCAGCAAGCGGGGCTGGCGTAGCTCTTTTAATTGTTTTTAATTCGTTTTTTTAAAAAGGGGTTTTTTTTAATCAATATGGGCCAAATTTGTTTAATATACTTTTAAATTGTTTTAAATTTTATATTTTTATGTTCTTATTTTTGGCTGTACACCGCCCTGAGTCCTTTGGGAGAAGGGCGGTATATAAATTTAAATAATAAAAAAAATATAAAAAAATATGTCCATCTGCCAAGGAAGCATACATTTAAAAAACAGAGCTAATATGGAGGCTGATGGGGAGTATCCTGAGCATCTAGAATGTCTTGACTGATGCCCATGATGGTTATAGTTTTCAAGGTAAGAATTTAATTTAAAAATGTGAGCTCAAATTAAATCCATGTTGGACTCCTCTTCCAAGCAAAAATTCTAATTTTATTATAAATCTACCTATAATCAAAAGTCGACTTGGGATGGAGAATGTGCACAAACAGGAGGGTTGACTAGCAAGAGGAAAAATGTGTGAGCTTGTAGTGGGGAAAGGAAGGGTAAGTCTAATAACCAATCTTTGAGCAAAGTCTTAAATTGTTGAACAGACTTCTGAATAAATATTGCTAGAGCTATATCTGTGAAATGTGACATTTGGTTGCAAAATAGAGAGATCGCAGGACTGCACAGTATTGTTTCAATGCAGAATCTGTACCAAATAATAAAATGAAAGTTCTTGGAAATCAAATAATTGACTATTTGATAAATGGTGACTCATAGCAAGGTTTTAAGTTATGATTAAAAATTATAAATACTGCAGTGTCCAAGGAAGTCTTATTTAAACCCTTCATACACAGTGCTTTAAAGGGTGCTTGGAAACTAAGAAGAACCAATAACACATTTGCTTTGGATATTCATTAAAATGGCAATAATTTCATTTCACCCTTATAAATATGTAATAAATATTTATTAAATACATGAATAAAATGTTTCTTAATATTATCTACCCTGAATTTTCAGCAATAGGGTAGATTTAAAAAACAACCCAAATAAATAAATGTGTACATGCTTGACAGAAGTAAACAGAAGTGTAACATTATGTCATTTTATAACTAAAAATGACTAGCAAATAGCTATGCAATTATTAGAATTTCCTGGAGCAATAACTCAAATTCTAGCATGGAATCTTAATTTATGTGTTTTAAATGGAATAGTTACATACCTCTGGTCATAAAATGTTTTCATGGTATAATAAATATTGACTTAACTGAGAAATCATGATTACATATAACTAAGGCACAGTCCAGACAAAGTTAAGGTTTGTGATCCCATTGATTTCAGTGGGAAGGTTCAGCACATGCATAACCCTGTTTTTCCTCCTAAAATATTTTTTTTACCATTCTGTGTCCCTCAAGAATTTGTTCCCACCTCACCTAACCTTGCATTCATTCTCCAAACTCAGCAACCACTACCTTCCAACCAGTAGTAGTAGTGTTTTTCCTAGCTCTTACCAGTCTTTCAAATATTTAAGATCCTGCATGTATTTAGACAGAACTAGATATTTCTGCACATATTTTTATTTTCCATTACTTCCATTTCTTTCTTTACCAAGTACACTTCCTTTTATTCCTTTGGTTCTCTTAAGCATTCCGCTGTTAAATGTTCTGAGTTTTGCTAATCTGTTTCTCAAGCATCCCTGGCAAATATTTGTTCATACATGCTGATTCATTCTTGATAAACTTATCAGGTGATTACTTACAGGTATAAATGAGCTATCACTTGTAAATGATTCCAAACAGAATTCACATACTGTATTTCTTTGTCAGTTTAAATAAGACAGTTCACATGTGAAGCTGATGGTAAAAAACAGTAAGTACGGATTATATAAATGAACATAAAAACTGATTGCTGAATCTCTACACATTGATTCATTGCTACTTGAACTCTCATTTGCTATTCTTGACTTCTTTTAGCATTTCCAAATTGCCTTAAGTCTGATCTGACTTCTGGCCACAGAACCTGCACTCTTCCGTTTTTTCAATTCACTACCTGTTTCATTTGAGAATGTTTTCTCTTCCAATTGGGGACCTGATGACTTCAGCAGTGTAGATACCAAGTCTAAAATTTATTTTAGGCAATGAAAGCAGTTTGAAACAGGGTACATTTATGGATCAAACACTAAGCTCTTTAAAGAGCCGAATTGTGTTGTAAGTGCCTGGCTAAAAAAAGTGATGATTGTTTGGGAACTCATCATCCAAACAATTCAGAAATAATCACTCGAGATGGACCTTTTCTGTGGTGGTACCATAATTTTTAACTCTTCCTCAGAAATAATTATTTTTCCACTTTAATGTGCAAAAACTATTTTATTGCTACAAGTTTCAGTTTCTAAAACAGTTTATCCCAGTTAAAATACTTGCAGCTACTTTTTTTTTATACTGCGTTACCATATTTCAATGCTCTATTTCTAGTTCTTGCTGATTATATAATTAAATTGTATGCCTTTTTGGATAACTACAGAAGAGTGGAGTAGCTGTCTGGCATTCTTTCTGTAACAGATACAGTAAGTTCTGAAGATCCAGGATGAAACAACCTTACAACAATAAAAACTGGTTGGTATTAGATGGGATGATAATAATAATAATAATAATAGAATAACAGAACAATACAGTTGGAAGGGACCTTATAAGTCATCTAGTCCAACCCCCTGCTCAAGCAGGAGACCCTATACCATTTCTGGGAGAACTCCCAGAAGCTTAACCCATGGCACTTGAAATTCCATGAAAGCAAAACAAAACGTATATATAACAGCAACATTACATTATATAGACAAAGTATTTTTGAAGGCATTTAATCTTTTGCTCTTAAAGAAGTGTAGTGATCAATTTGACAAATATGATACTGTGGTTTTGTTGGTCATTGTCTCAAGTTTGCATTTTTGTAGTCAAAAGAATACTAAGTATCAGATCTCACAAGACAGTCTGGTAGCTTCAATCTGATAAGGTTGAAGTAAAGAAAGTTAACAAATATTTATTCCTTATTTATTTTTAATGCTTATTGAAAGCAGTAAGAGGAAACCCTGTAGAACTAAGATCTTTTCTGAAATCTCTCTCCTTTTTTTTTAAAGCTTTCCATTTCTAGATTTTGGAGATTTATTAAATGATTGATTGCCTTTAAGTCAGTTTTGATTTCTGACAACTACCTGATAGGGCCTCAAGAATTGGTGGCAACATTGGAAACTGAGTTCTCCAAGGTTGAAACTGTTTCAAAAGTCAGAGGGAAAGCTAAGAAATCCTATGGCTCTTGAAATGCTTATTTATAGTTTTTAGGATTGTATTTTTAATATTACAAATTTGGCAAACTTATTTCTTAAAACAATTTTGGAATTGTTTTACACAGCGCAGTCTAATGTTTTAAGTAAATTAATATAAATTAATTAAGCTACATATTTACTTTACATGGAATGTATTCTAATGTTCACAAATGAATCCTTAATTCCATAATTTTGAGTCAGGCATGAAAAGAGTAACAGAAATGAGTGAATGGATGCTATATTGGAATCTATGATTTTCCAAGCTACTGATGTCTGGGACAAACTGGTAATTATTACTCATGATTTTGCAAAAGCAGAATCAGTAACAGAATGCATAGTTTCTCATCAGTTATTGAAGCAAGCACCCTACATATTCTTGAACTGCTGTTTTTTCTTCTTAAGCCTGACTTTATTACTTTTGCCATTTCTGTAAGTTTCCATTCATAATTTTTATTATTCATTCCAAAATCTTTCCTATTTAACTTGTATTCTTTTATACATGGAATGCATTTCCATAATGAATGCTATGCTCTGATAATTTCAGTTAAAAATAAAAATGTTTTTCTTAAATGTGTCCTCCAGCATGCTTTTCTTACAATGGCTGTGTATAAATTATACAACAAATTCTGCATCTGCTTTCCTTCTGGCTCCTTCATTCCGTTCCCATATTTTTTAGACAGTGAGTGTCTTTAAACAGTGGGAATCTTATATATAATTAGTATTTAATAAATGTTCTTAGTTACAGAATTATCTAAAAGGAGACATTTCCATATGGGAGAACAGAGCAGTTTCTTAATAATTTATATGAAGACTGACATACACAATGTCAGATGCAGATGCACAGTGAGGCAATGTGCACAGCCAGAAGCACCAGCCTTTTAAAACTATCGTCGGTATAACTGTATGTTCAGATTTATATTTTAGAAAGTCTATACTTCAGTTATACCTGCTGTAATTCAAAATTATGTATTTCAGTCATTTCAACAGGATATGCAATTTCTTTTATCCTAAAACAAAAAAGTGGAAAAAGAATTGCAACTTTTATATGCATATGCATTTCAAAGCAAAACCAATAACAGACATAAACTCAACAGATTGACATTGTGCTTTATTTATACTGTGTGCATAAATAAATACACAAATCAGTGTCCCTATTATGTAAGTGTAAAAATAGTAAAGATATGTAATGTACAAAAAGTAAATAAAAAACCCTGTAGTTATTTTAGATCCTTATGGGTCATATGCTAAAGGAAGTAGTCTAAGTACAACTAAGTACAAATACAATGGTTTCTTGGACTTAGTCTTGTCTGCTAATATCCTTAACTATACAATTAGATCTGTCAGGGATCTTCTGAAAAAACTAGCAAGGTCAAGAAATTTCACAAACTCTAAAGCTAAGGGAAGATAATTGAATTATCAATTTAGAGTTTTTATTTAAATAAATATTTTACATTTCATGCTTACCTGTAATGCACTACCAGGATCAAGGTAAGGAAATTCTACTGTAGACAGTACAAACAGTAGCAGCAAAATTGTACATTGAGGTGTAATATAGAGACCCTGCACATAGTTAAGGAAATCTTACATTTTTTCACTCCAGCAGAAGCACATGACCTGTGCAAGAACTGCCAGCTTCAAGAAGTGACACCTTCCCCCATTTAAAAAGAAAAAAGTATAAAACAATACTCTGCAATGAGCAAAATGTATTGGAAGAATCATGATGGGAAGCAAAGCTGTGTGCAAAAATTATCCAGATATAAACCAAAGTCTTTTAGGTCCTCAAGATGGCTGCAGTGTTAAGAGGACATCATGTCCTGGAAGCAAGTATAAGCTGGAGCCAACAAGGCTGAAAATACAATTTCTTGAAAGCTCTTGTGTCAGGGTAGCAAAATTCAGAAAAGGCTGCAAGACGGAAAAACTACAAATGTATTGTGGCCAGTGTTAGTTCTATTTTTTTAAAAAAAAATACTGATGTATTACTTGGGAAGACTAGCTGCCACATTCTGAAAGATTATTTCATATAGGAACATGAATTCAAATCCCAATTGCCTTTAAATCAAACCAAATGATATAAAGCTGTGACAAGTTTAGTAAATCTGGTGAACTTCAAGTATTTTGGCCTTTCAATTTCCATCATCCTATCCTCAGCACAAGAAAGGAAGGGGACAAAGCTTCTAGTGCTGACTTGGGTATGTGGACAACACACTAAATGCAGGCAACTGATATAAAATAGAATGCCAGCTTTGGAGGAGGTTTCCCCACCCCCCCACTTATCAGAATGAGTTATAGTGGGCTGCATCCAACATTAGATGAGCAGGCATGCATTTGCTACATTCCAGCCTTTGAGAAAGATTTAGGGAAGAAGGATAGGAATGTTAGTTCACTAGCAGATGTCAGCCCAGTATTAATAATATATAAATTCAGAGGCAATTTAAATATTGACTTTTAAATATTTTCTCTATACAAAATGGCAAAAGTTCTGTTCTTTATAATATGGACTCAT